TACTAGGCAGCCGATTATATATTTGCTTCGATTTCAGACACAAATGTCGTTTTTCTTTTATCCTGTTTCTTGATGTCATCCACAGGTTTTCATGATGCCATGGCGGGACTTTCAAAATTGTCGTTTCAGACGCCAGAGCATTTTCAAATTCTTGGATTGGCTTCCGACATTGCAGATGACAATAGTAGGTTATTGGTGTATCTTTAGATTCTCTTGTATTATACAATGTATCTACATATATATACGCATTAACAAAGACACGTGCTTTGTTATTATGAAATTGTTGAAATAAGTTATGTAAAGTTCGAAGTAAAAATACATGCCCCGTACCTGTTTGACGTTTTTTTTATCTAACTTTTATCACTATATGTTTTTTTAAATATGTGGATTTTTTTATTTGGTTTGTAGAGAGCGATATTAATGCCCTAATGGGCGTTGCCTTAGAGACAGTGGCATCTCTTCCTTTAACCTACCTGGTTGATCAGTGGCGATGGAACGTGTTCCAAGGCAGAACCCTAAGTTATACCTACAATCTTGATTGGTGGAGATTGAGGTAAACATAACTCCTTTCTAAAAAAGAATAATTCAATTTTAACATTGTTCTTTCCCACATTTTCTCGACTTAACGACATAAACTAGTTCCACTTTTGTTTTGAACATAAACAGCTATTGAAAAGTTATTTGCGAGCTTTTGAAAACGTTTTGCAAGCAAAGATTGCAAATGGCCGGTGACACGACTCTCCACCGCTGAGGTCAATAAGCAACAATATGCCGAGTCAGTAAATTCAGCTGTCAGAAATATTGAAAACAAAACAACAAGCAAATATCATTTATAACAAACTGGTTACTTATTCCGAGTAAGAACCGTGTTTCAATAAAGAATTGAGAATAAAGTTGTTTTACATGTATGTCATATCAAATCATAATGCTATACGCCGGATCTTTTCTCAATACCCTAGACATTCCCATTCATAAGGAACTCTTTACAAGTCATTCGATACATACTTTTATTTTGAAGGTGTAAATATCAGGGTATTTCCCCACCAGTGTTGAGGACAGAGGAGGATTTTGACGCCGGTTCTGAACATCATGTTTCTTCAAACCTGCCTTATATACAGTAAGTAACTGATGCCAATCTTCATTAGCTTAACACATACAGAGTAAAGTCTGGAATTTTATGAATTTTGAAAACAAATCTATGGAATAGCCTTAAGTGTGGATATTACCTGAGCACACATTTACCTTGATTTCAGATTCGATAATTTAAAGGACATTATTGATGTATTTCCATCAATATAACAGAGTATTTGTATAACTACGTTCTTCTTACATTACAGAGATTTCGTTAGCAATATTTTGAAATTCCAATGGCATAAAGCGCTGTGTAGTAAGGGACAACAGCAACAGAAACCACTACATAGATGTGATATCTTTCGGAACTGGATAGCCGGAAGTAAACTAAAGTAAGTCTGCAATTCAGTGATCGCCTATTCTGTACATACAACCTCTACCGTGTGAGGCAACCTATTAAAAGACTGAATACCAGATATATGGGTTTTAAGAATTAAATTTACTCCTAATGAAAATCATATTTACCAAAAGTTGATTTCTACATCATTCTATGTTGGTCAATATCTAAATACAAGAGGTACAAATGTTAGTGCACTAGATATCGTTAAAAGTAATTTTAAATGAACTTTCAATTACATACGTCATCTATTAATTGTATCTACACTAGCCATTAGTGTGTCTACTGAATCCACACCATTTATTAATATCTACACTATCGATAATATATGTCTACTCTTTTAAATATATACACATTTTATTAAATGCATCTATATGAAACCTGAAATGTGTCTACATCATCTATTAAATGGACTAATAGAAATGCAATGTATTTATAGAATAAGATATATCATGAATGGTAATTAGTCATCAGATGTAACTATATGATGATATCAAGAATATGCTCTCCACATTAACAGTATAACACATAGGTTTTGATGGATAGACTTTACCATATCAATAGATATTATTCATTCAACAGAGAGATGTTAGAACTGGGGTCCTCTCGTCCCTGGCAAGACACTTTGAAATTGTTGACGGGTTCAAGGAGGATGAGTGCAAAGCCGTTAGTCGAATATTTAAAACCTTTAACAAACTGGTTGACAAACGAAAATAAGGGACACAGAATAGGTTGGGACGTCAACTGTCCTGAGAATAAAGTATCTGTCGCATCCACAATGTTTCCAGCATCAGCGTGTACTAGTTTGGTATTAGCAATGTTATTGGTTCTCTTGTTGTGATGAATATTAGCGAGTAAACAAGGTCCACTGCAACTCTTTGTTATAAAGGTTAGGGAATTACAATTAAACTTTATTAGTGTGTGTACTTTTTTTGATATTTTATATAATGGACAAATATATATTTCCTCGTATAATAACTGATTTACAGCAATATAAAAAAAAAATGATTTAAACCAACGTCCATGAAAGTTTGAATAAGTCTGAATATTTATAAACCCGCAGTAGCTTTTTATCGGCTATGACTACCTTTTTATATTATCCCGAATAGTTCTTTCTTTGTATCGCCTATTTGTCTATAAGACCACTTGTCTATCAAAAAAATTTGCTTACTCAATCTGACGATATTCATAGATGTTTGAATGTACCTGTATGTATGTATACCCTTACTTATTTTTTTAAATCGATGACACCCTTGCCTATTAATGTTCATTCTGTGTAGTGCATGTATTAATAATTAACTTACATGTCACGTGACGTTTATCAGTATATTTATAAACATGCTGATATAAATCCTGTATCAGTACACCTATCCTGAGACGGTCCCTGTGTTAACTTACCAATCACGAGATGTTTATCAATTTATTTATAAACATTCTTACACATCCCCTGTATTAATATACTTATCATGAGACGTGTATAGTATTAATTTACCAATCACGAGACGTTAACAACTACTTATCGTCAAACGTTCATATTACATGCACATAGATATTCTGAAATGTTCCCTGGAGTAACTTCTGATACGTTCCCTGTTTAATGTTACTTATCCATAGCTGTTCCCTAAATAAACTTGGTAATTCTGAAACGTCCCCGATAATAACGCTCTAATCCCGAGATGTTGCCGTTATCAACTTACTCGGCATGATACGTTTGTCTGTTCTGGCTTACCTACCACGAGTCGGTATTATTTACCGGTTTAGTAGTATGGCTATACGAATTTGCTGATATGGTGATGTTTCCTTTATACATTTTTTATTCAACTATCGTTCGTAGTTCTTTCATCAAAGTCAGTCGCTTATATATGATGTGACATTCTTTCATTCATAAGGGAGAAAGTTTGACGACGTCACAATGATAATTAATTGTGTTAATTACAGTTTGTCTGATGTGTTATATGTTTATCTACGAATTGCTAAATACAAAAAGCAATCCCAATCTGCGAAACTTACCGTAAAATTGTTGAATATTTCTATAAAAATCAAATATATTTCTCCACAACTTTCAACAATATTATCTTTATCTGTGCATAGTTTTTCAAGTAACTACATACCGGGCACATTCACTGGACGAGATTGTTAATCCTGCTGGAATATTAACGCTGTGGTATATTGTTGTTTTCTATTTTAATTAATATTAATGCATTGTTGTATAATTATTGGATAGCACACACTGACGACTCGTGGTGAAACTTTATGTGTATGGTGTAGCTGTAAGATTCATTGAAATAATTAATGACCTGAACATCATGCTTCAGAAGGATAGAAACGCTTTCATAAGTTTACCACCGTAATTAATTGTATCCTGCCATTACCATTTTGCACTTATATCGCTAATACCACATCGATATGTGTTAAGTAATACAGTAGTCATTTTATTGGTGTTTCTATGTTTAATATCCAATTATAAACACAATATGTCATTTTTGTGTGTGCATGTTTAACCGAAGGTTTAAGATATTGATTGCATTGAAACTTTAGTATATGCAACGTACGTACAGTTGTGTGATATTTGGAAATAGGCAAATATGTGTCCATTACCAGCCAATTATATCCTCTCTTGTCTAATAATGTCGAACTATTTAATTTCATTGCCTCTATTTGTGTATATTAATAAACTTTTGAATACATCTTTCTGAGTTGTATGTGTGTGTGCGGTAAGTGTCCTGCTGACTATTTCAGCTGAGTAAAAAGGGAAAAATTAATGCCGTGTCACAGCAATGCAAAGTGTGAATTAATTTCACTGAAATGATTCGTGTCGAGAAGCTACCGTAATCCATCTTGAAAGGGCCATTTGACCTTCTTCCTACTCGGATGACCGTTGCCCACAAGGTGAGTGATGCGGCGGTGTACTCAACCAGGATCACTTTACCTTTGTTTTCAGCTGCAACTACCTATCCTATTATGTGGTATGGGTTGGGTATTACGGTTTTAGTGCTGCCTCAGCACAAAAACGTACACCCTGGAGGTATGAAAGAGGGCACGTGGTAAAGCGACCATAGGTAAGGCTGGTTCACCTTTGTAGGGATTGAATTAAATATATGTGGCATACTTTGACTGGTAGGAATTCGTTCATATTTTTGAAGAGATCAGATAGGGCGCTTTATAAATGTAAAGACACACACTAGAAATCACACAGTTAGCAGAATGCAAGATGTGATTGAAACGTACGTTAAGCCGCATTCTCAAAAATTCATATCTTCTATTTATACGGCTTCCTTATAATGTATAACGAGTGACGTTATGTTTTATTGCATGCAATTGATTACTTGGGTTGGTATAACACTAACATATTGCTCTTCCGGTTTAGTGTGGCTGGCAGTCATAAACCCCCACGTTCTATGATAAAATACATCCCGTGTAGTTACGCGATATAGTATATAGCTAGCGGTGACTGGATGCAAGGTCGTTACCATATATCTACGTGGTTTCATTTCGAAAGCAATAACAAAAAACACAGTAAGGAAAAACAAGATTAACATATAAATCATATATTTAGAAAATACACTCTCGATTTCAAATAGTCTCTGATATGCAATTTTATGATTTTAACAATTAATGTTTACAATATAGATAGTTACAAAAATAACAATAACATCAAAGATGTAACAGGATATACTATATTAGCGTATGTATATCCTGGCAGTTTTTATACTTTGCTATATTAACATATATGTATATAAGGCTCCGGCCATTTAACTATTATCAGACCTTCAAAGCATGAGATGTATGCTTTCTGTGATATTTCATGTATTGTACTATGCAATTGCATGTAATATTTTCAGCAATCTCATAACTTATATTTTAGATGTCATTTATGTTTAATTCATATTACTATGTTTTAAGAAACACTAAGTAAATTTAACACATTTTACTAATATAGAGGAAGGACCCTGAATCAGGTTTTTAATCCTCAATAAATAAAGTTAATTATTAAAAACATCAATCCTTTTATTATCAAACATGCTAACTTCCCAATAAGAGAGAAATCGCTAAAGCTATATTACTGCCGATGTATGAATTGATCAAGTCAAGTTCATATCTGTTTATATGATTAGCGTATAGGCGATAAAGGCGGTTTATTAAATTAACATTGAGATAATAACACAATATATGTACACAATTACCATAATTTGCTTAGCATCAAACATATGCATGCTATGTTGTCATTTGCTACATGAACTGCTTAAGTATAATTGCGAAAGCAGGTCAGCACGATTCGAAATAACATAACTTTAAAGGAAAATGATACTATAGCGAAATACCACTAGCTGTATATCCTTTACACAATGAATAATGCTTGAAATGTCCACACGAAATGAAACAACAAATAATAAGGACTATCTAAACAAAAAGTGTTAACGCCAACAGAACCATACTGGCCAGGAGAGTGGATGGATTGATGTTGCTGGAGGCGGAAGTAGGGCTAGGAGGATAGGGCGACGGAATGTTTGTTGGACAGGATGAACTCCAACCAATGTTCTCTTCCTTGTTCTGTTCCTTCAGCCATTGCAATAATGGATCAAAGTACTCCACCATGGGTAGAACACTCATTTCACGGGATCCAGTTATCACCTCCATGGCGTCCTGCCATGGTTTCGATGAACCCAGCTTCAACATCTCTCTAAGGCGAAGAACAAATACTCAAAATGTATATCAGAAGTGACACGAAGTCAATCACGTCATTTTCATATTAATCATATTTCTATTCCCTTTCGTCGTGATTCCTAACTTTTATCAAACCATTTGCCACGCTAGATGGTTATTTTCTTTGTAGTTTTATATGTATGGTTACCCTATTTACATGTATAAAATACTTNATTAAATCCTTTAAGATATACCCAATCTTCTCACAGCTAATTGATATGTATAATGGCAAACTGTGTAAGGCATCGTAACCAACCTCAACAGATTACCGGCGGATACGTCGCGATAGACATCACATCTGTGTAGTGGCCCCACATATCCGATCTCATCACAAAGCGCTTTGTGCCACTGGAACTGGAGGATGTAGCTGACAAAATACCTAGACAAAGGGTGAAATAAACGCAGTGAGTGACTGAGTATATCTTTCACTACCGTTGATTTTCCTTTCCTCGATAGTAACATACGCCTACCATGCTATAGATGATTCACTAATGCATAGCCTGTCCTACGAGTCGGGGCATCTACAGAATACATGCATCATTTGACTACTATATCACTTATCCATATGATAATCGCCTTGAGAAGATTCGGTCACAGACGTTGCAGAAGAGTGTATGCCATCAGCTGACCTGATTCTCACCTGATTACGAATGTCGTGCATGTTATTGAGTTCAGTGGTATATTTTGTCTGGGGGGTAATACATTTTATTTTATGTTACTTTCTTGTTTCATTAACAAAAGGGCACGTTCAGCAAGGGATTTGCTTGACATCTTCCAAATGTTCGAGGAATATCTAATCCCAAGCGAATTAACGAATTTCTATCAACGAGAAAAAAAATATTTTTGAAAAAAAAGATAGCGGAAACCCTAAATAAAAGGGGGAAATCGATTTATACGTATCTAATGATTATTACGAAGGTCATTGGACCCCTTGCAATTAATTATTAGAAATAGATATATTAAAATTTTAATATTTTTCATGCTTCAGGACTAGTTCATTTCAAGTGTATCACTGCAATTTTATCAACTTTCTCAGAGAGTTTGTTTATTCAATAGAATAGCACGACATTATAAATTGGATCATTTGGGTTGTGGACATTTTTCGACAAACATAACGACACTTAAGTGTTACAAACACATAAATGACTTATAACATAGAGATCTTAGAATCACGTTTCGTTAAACACCCTGAAATAGAAGTTTATTAAGATAATTTGTTGTCACATTACAAAAGTAATAATTATATTATGCAGACAGTCCAAAAACTTGTTTCTTATTGTGAACTTTTTAATTTGATGTTCTTCATCTTTAAAGCAACGTAACAATTCAATCATGCTGCGTTATTTGTCTTTATTGACTTACTAATGGGCGGTAAACGTGAGCATATCATTTGTGTTTACAGGGTAAATCTCGATAGCTAGGTGTTAAAATACTTCAAAAAGACTAATAGACTTGCCTTATATATGGGGTATTGCCTGGAATATGATACTTTGCTCCAGGATCAAAATCATCCTCTGATCTTTCAATTGGAGGTGATATACCTTGATATTGACATCTGAAGATAAAAATAGTACACAATGTGTTCAACGATAACCCTTCACGCGTAGAATATACGAAAAAAATATCGTGATGCTAAAAGTTATTTCACTTCACTTATATCATGACAATTATGTCAGGGAAAATTATACATCTTTCTGAGAGTCATTTATTTAAGTAAACAAATATTTTGTCTTGTTTGAACAGTCCTACAGCTTACCGTAGATCCCACCAGTCATGGTTGTATGTTCCTGGAGTTGTTGCCCCTTTAAACACGCTCCAGCGCCATTGATCAATCAGGTAGCCAAAAGGTAGAAAAGCGACCTTATCAAGAGCCATCTTAAGTAAGAAGTTCAGGTCACTCTCTGCATGTGAGGTTCGAATTACAAAAAAAAGTCACAAAATGAATACAACATTTAAAAACAAAATGGAAACAAAACCAAAAAATGTTTGTCTTGAGTGAAATATTGTCGTAAATCTTGAAAACAAATGATTTTTTTTGTTTTCAATTCAACATACTTTCGACGAGTCATTACTTAACTCATAGAACGTATTCATTTTGAAGATGCTCAACACATTAAACTACACAGTGATAATAATGTACGTACTATTATCCGTTGGTATTTCGTCTAGCAGCCCAATCGCCTTCATGTGTTCAGGAGTTTGGAACGACAGACTCACGATATCAGCCATGCCCTCGTGGAAACCTGCCGTACATTTCATACAGTGGTTAATAATATAGCGAAAACAATTCGTAATCTTTAAAAAAAATCAGAGAAAAATACGCATATACATTAGAAAAAGAATATAAGACGTCAAATAAATATGGGAACAATGCGAACTTAAAATTTCAACAAGTAAATAATACAAGTATTTTGAATACGTCATATATTAATTTGTGGATCGCTTTATCTCATTATATTTTTTGGTTCAAACATAATAGCTCATTTAATGTATGAATTAATGATAAGTTTTCAAATTTGTCTTGCATACATTATCTAGAAACAGTCACATGCAAAAAGATGTATTGCTATAGAATAAAATCAACAGAAACTATAAGCATGCTTCATTTTCAATATCACACAAGCTTACATAATATACATATGATTATATGATGTTAAGTTGTTTAATCATGCAGAAATAAATTGCCATAAAGCAAAATGCGCATATTGCTGCTAAAAACTGGGTCGTCACGAAATATTTTTTAAACGGATTCTTTTTTCTTTCAGGTAATAGGTGACAAGTTTATATATAATGGGTTGTTTTATAGAGCACAATAAGACGAACCGTGTGCAATGATTTTCAGCTTTAGTTTATCACAGTTAAGCACTATGTTTCTGCTTCTTGCCAAAGTTTCCCTCTCAATGAATGGTACAAATAGTGAATTTAAAACACTACAAAAGACACTTTCAAATCTAATATTATCGTGATGGTAACACGGACACTAAATGTGCTTCGCGATCAGATTGTGGATGTCTAGGCTTCATTCAGTTTTATCAATATTCATTACATCAAAGCTATTACATTTGTTTTACTAAGATATTGTTCTTTTTATCAACTTGCAATTTGTCCATATGTTTAAATAGTTGTTGACCAAGCAAAACATATGCATGATGAGTAATTTGTCAGTATGACTCGCATACTTTGTGATTTAACTTACCTTTATAGTATGATATATTACGTCACATGGTATACCTCTAGGTAAACCATTGACCCTACTGGTTTGGTATGTATTGCAATATATCCGAGAAGAAAACAAAATGATGTGATTTTATGATAATCAGCAGAAAAATAGAAATGTAGGTTCTAATCATTTCTTATACTCAACGCAAAACACCCTCTTTGTGTATTTAAAGAATTTCATTAATGATACATATTTGAAAAAGGAAAAAATCTACAACTAAATGTGAAATTATCCATGACTATACTACGGCTGTAAATAACTAAGTGGACATTACCAGGGTTAGCTCCCCTGCGGAAGAGAACGGGCTGATTGACGTATGTTAAGTAATAGATCACGTGTCCCATCTCATGGTGAACGGTAAGAAGTTGACTTTCTGTAACCGTTGTACATTGCTTAATCCTACAAATAAATAAAGCATAGCTCTCCACAATTTTTTTCTTACTGTTTGTAAATGCAGCTAATATCTAAAGAGTATAAATAAACAAAGCGTGTCGTCATATGTCGACCAGGGGAGAGTTAAGCAGTTACCCGTATTAGCTCCATCACGAAAAATAACAGGTTGATTGACGTAGGCTAAAAAATAGATCACGTGACCCATCTCGTGATGAACTGTGAGGAATTGACTCTCTGTCAGTGCCGTGCATTGTTTAATCCTACAACGAAAAATCTTGCAATGTCCATTTTTTAAACAAATTGCAATTATCCATTGTATGTAATGATTTATACTGCAACTTCATATGAATCAATTAATCAGAGAAGAAGTTTACTGCTGTAAAAAATATAATCAAGGCGTTTTGTAAGCGTGGTTTGATAACCAAACAATATTTTGAAATGGAAAATGTTTTTTGAAATAACTTATTACATGGGGGTTAGTGATTTGTGATATTGACTCGGAGTTTGGATCATTATCACATGGGGGTCAGTGATTTGTCATATTGACTCGGAGTTTGGATCATTATCACATGGGGGTTAGTGATTTGTGATATTGACTCGGAGTTTGGATCATTATCCTATGGGGGTCAGTGATTTGTGATATTGACTCTGAGTTTGGATCATTATCACATGGGGGTCAATGATTTGTGATATTGACTCGGAGTTTGGATCATTATCACATGGGGGTTAGTGATTTGTGATATTGACTCGGAGTTTGGCTCATTATCACATGGGGGTCAGTGATTTGTGATATTGACTCGGAGTTTGCATCAGGAATGATATTTCAAAAAATATTTATTTATCCCTTTTCACGGATTTTCCTGATGCTAAACTTGCACTTACTTCTCAGTAAGGAAGCAGTTGTTTGAGTAAGGACAATGACATGTATTAAAATTTCGGGGAAATAATCAAAAAAGTTGAACCCTGATGCTGAAGCGTATCTCTTCGGTCGGCTGGCAGCTGAAGGCTAGTAATAATTAATACATCTTAAGGTGATTTACCTCAATAAAGAATTGAACTTTGTTGACAAATAAAATGAATAGCTATGATTTCAACAGACGAAAGGTACGAAGGAATTAGTCGGAAAATATTTACATGTTACACTAAAAAAAATACATACACTCCTGCTCTTGCCTATGTTAAACCTGTTTCCGGCTAATTGGAAGAAACCCCGAATAAGGCAATTGTTAACAGTATGGATATAAATATTCCTTCATTTGTAGATATTTTTTACATGATTCGATCTTCTTACCATCATATACATATGCTTTTAGTTGTGATTAAATCTTATTTGATACAAGTGATAATTCGTTGTCTTCTTGATAAGTTAAAACTGCTTATCGATTCATTCAATATCCTATTTATCTTTTGATGGGCATAACATAAGAAGATCAGCATCTGATTTACTTAAGCTGTTAGAGTAATTTCTATAATTATTGATTCAGAGATATAAAGTAACAGATTACTGGAGTTATTTCCATTTTGAATATCTCACAACCACGCGACGCGGTTTTATTACACGATATTCAAAAGACTTGAGATGTGGGACATTTCAGTTTTTGAAAACTTGATGTAATGTAAAAAGTCATATTATTCATTTTTATAAAATTACAAAAAATAATATGGTAATATGTTTAGAATCATAAAAAACTGTGCAATCGAATAATTACATGGCATGAGGAAAATATAGTTATTAACAATAACAGACAGCCAGAACGTCTACAAGGGTTATTGCTACTTCACAACTAAAAGGTTTCGAACCTAATGCGTCTGAAGCAAAGTGAAATATACCAAGACCCAGTTTCTGCATTTTCATTGTGGGAGGAGAAAACAATACCTTCAATAGTGAATTCCAATTTAAATTCAAGATAGCGGTACTGAAATGTTATTTATGTATTGATCCGTCAAGCATATTTCCTGTACATTGCACCGTTTGCTAGAACCTTAAAACGTTTCCATAAGATATTTGATATGTTAATTACTAATTAAGTATGTTATGTTCAAACAGCGTGCAATATCGCCTCTATTAATTCGTGAAACAGCAGACTTCATACTGAACTTAAATAAATGAGAAGAGATGCCATATTATAGGTTAATTCTGGCCAAGTGTCAAACACAGAACCACAACGGGACACATCACCAATACTAGACTTCAGTATACATTTGGTGATTTTAGCATTATACACAACACCAATACTAGTTAGTGATTTGTGATATTGACTCGGAGTTTGGCTCACGCATCAGTAAATATTTGGTGATTTTAGCATTATACACAACACCAATACTAGACTTCAGTATACATTTGGTGATTTTAGCATTATACACGCATCAGTAAATATTTGGTGATTTTAGCATTATACACAACACCAATACTAGACATCAGTAGACATTCGATGGTTCCTGTTATACACAGCAACATTAGAAGACATAAGAACACACCGCATGGTTCTAGTCGGTACACACAACATCAATAAGAGACATATTACTGTATACCGGGAACTTTTCACCGAATACAACTTTCTCCCATGAATTCAATGTTTCTACAGTGTAACTTTCGCCCTCTCCCATGAATTCAATGTTTTCCCAGTGTAACGTTCGCCCTTTCCCATGAATTCAATGTTTCTCGAGTGTAACTTTCGCCCTCTCCCATGAATTTAATGTTTCTCCAGTGTAACTTTCGCCCTCTCCCATGAATTCAATGTTTCCCTAGTGTAAACTTCACCCTTTCCCATGAATTTGATGTTTCCCAAGTGTAACTTTTGCCCTCTCCCATGAATTCAATGTTTCCCGAGTGTAACGTTCGCCCTCTTCGAAGAATACAATGTTTCCCAAGTATAACTTTCGCCCTTTCCCATGCATTTAATGGTCTACCAGTGTAACTTTCGCCCTTTCCCATACATTTAATGTTCTACCAGTGTAACTTTCGCCCTTTCCCATGCATTTAATGGTCTACCCGTGTAACTTTCGCCCTTTCCCATGCATTTAATGGTCTACCGGTGTAACTTTCGCCCTTTCCCATGCGTTTAATGTTCTACCAGTGTAACCAATAGAACATAAATCTCTCGATATAATGCCCCTTTAAACTCTTTAACTCTTTAAATCAAAAATGCGTATACTATATTTTCACGTTACGGTATATTTTGCGTAAAAATACACAATCGCAAATATATTAATCTCGAAATACTATGATATACATCTCACAGTAGCACGGATAACACATAATATATTGATTGTCGTTATTATAAACTGTTCCCAGGTAGCTTGTTCTCAAATATTTCAACAACACGAAATTCAAAATATATATTTTTATAGCTGCTGATTGGTAACTTGTACTAAGTGAGCGTAGGTCTACAGTAAAACGTAGGTCTATAGTAAAGAGTAGGCTAGAAGACCTGTAGAACAGTGTCAGTCCAGAGTAAAACGTAGGTCTACAGTAAAGAGTAGGCTAATAGACCTATAGAACAGTGTTAGTCCACAGTTAAACGTAGGTCTACAGTAAAGAGTAGGCTAGTAGGCCTATAGAACAGTGTTAGTCCACAGTAAAACGTAGGTCTACAGTAAAGAGTAGGCTAGTAGGCCTTTAGAACAATGTTAGTCCACGTTAAAACGTAGGTCTACAGTAAAAATAGGCTTATAGGCCTATAGAACAGTGTTAGTCCACAGTAAAACGTAGGTCTACAGTACAGAGTAGGCCAGTAAACCTATAGAACAGTGTTAGTCCACCGTAAATTGAAGGACTACAGTAAAGAGTAGGCTAGTAGACCTATAGAACAGTGTTAATCCACAGTAAAACGTAGATCTAAAGTAAAGAGTAGGCTAGTAGGCCTATTGAACAGTGTTAGTCCACAGTTAAACGTAGGTCTACAGTAAAGAGTAGGCTAGTAGGCCTATAGACCCCTGTTAGTCCACAGTAAAACATAGGTCTACAGTAAAGAGTAGACTAGTAGACCTGAAGAACAATGTTAGTCCACGTTAAAACGTAGGTCTACAGTAAAAATAGGCTTATAGACCTATAGAACAGTGTTAGTGCACAGTAAAACGTAGGTCTACAGTAAAGAGCAGGCTAGTAGACCTATAGAACAGTGTTAGTCCACAGTAAAACGTAGGTCTACAGTAAAAAGTAGGCTAGTAGATGTTAGTCCACGTTAAAACGTAGGTCTACAGTAAAAATAGGCTTATAGACCTATAGAACAGTGTTAGTGCACAGTAAAACGTAGGACTACAGTAAAGAGCAGGCTAGTAGACCTGTAGAACAGTGTTAGCCCACAGTAAAACGAAGGTCTACAGTAAAGAGTAGGCTAGTAGACCTACAGAACAGTGTTAGTCCACAGTAAAACGTAGATCTACAGTAAAGAGTAGGCTAGTAGACCTTTAGAACAGTGTTAGTGCACAGTAAAACGTAGGACTACAGTAAAGAGTAGGCTAGTAGACCTATAAAACAGTGTTATTCCACAGTAAAACGTAGGACTACAGTAAAGAGTAGGCTAGTAGACTTGTAGAACAGTGTTAATCCACAGTAAAACGTAGATCTAAAGTAAAGAGTAGGCTAGTAGGCCTATAGAACAGTCCACAGTAAAGAGTAGGCTAGTAGGCCTATAGAACAGTGTTATACAACAGTAAAACGTAGGTCTACAGTAAAAAGTAGGCTAGTAGGCCTATAGAACAGTGTTAGCCCACAGTTAAACGTAGGTCTATAGTAAAGAGTAGGCTAGTAGGCCTATAAAACAGTGTTAGTCTAGAGTAAAACGAAGGTCTACAGTAAAAAGTAGGCTAGTAGGCCTATAGAACAGTGTTAGCCCACAGTTAAACGTAGGTCTATAGTAAAGAGTAGGCTAGTAGGCCTATAGAACAGTGTTAGCCCACATTTAAACGTAGGTCACAGTAAAGAGCAGGCTAGTAGACCTATAAAACAGTGTTATACCACAGTAAAACGTAGTTCTAAAGTAAAGAGTAGGCTAGTAGGCCTA